AAGTACTTCCACTCCGTGCCGACGAAGTATATCCAGATCGCTCTCTCCATAGAGACGATGCTGGACCTATTTACCCTCACCATTGAGGATGTGACTGGCCGTCTGCGGGTGGTGGACGAGCGCATGGAACAGGCCACAGCGTCGAAGGACAGCGGCAAGCTGCTGCTGACAGAGGAGGAGTGGGCTGCCCGGAGGAACTCCGGGGTAGCCTCCTCCAACTGCGGTGGCGATGGCAAGCGCCGCTGCAAGATTTCTTCGGAGAAGAAGAAGAAGGTCGACCCCAACATCTGCCGGCGCTGCGGGAAGACGAGCCATTAGGCAAGTGAGTGCCCAAATCGCAAGAAAGAGAAGAAGGCTGAGGCTCATCTGGCGTAGGTTGATGATGACGATGAGGCCACTCTCCTGATGGCGACGTTCTATGCACTGCACGACGTTGAGGCCGAGGAGAAGGGAGAGGTGATGGCGGTGAAAAGGCCTAGAAAGGCTCTGAAAGCTGTCTACCTCGATGAACCGCGCACCCAAGTCCACCTCGGACATGTGGGCGGCGAGCAGGAGCAGCGGTGGTATCTGGACTCTGGCGCCAACAACCACATGACGGGCTCCAAGGCAGCCTTCTCCGAGCTCGACGACGACGTGACCGGCACGGTGAAGTTCGGTGACGACTCAAGGGTGGCTATCCAAGGGCGCGGCACCATCATCTTCAGGTGCCAGAACGGCGAGCACCGCGTGCTAACGGATATATATTACATCCCGCAGCTGCGTTCAAGCATCATCAGCATTGGCCAGCTGGATGAGCGCAGGAGCAAGGTACTGATCAAGGACAGCGTCCTCAGGATCAGGGACCGAGAGGAGCGACTTCTTGCCAAGGTGAAGAGGTCCTGGAACCGGTTGTATCTGCTCGACTTGAAGGTGGAGCAACCAGTGTGCCTGGTGGCACGGCACACCGAGGACCTATGGTTGTGGCATGCCCGGTTCAACCATCTCAGCTTCAACTGGAGAAGATGGTCCGAGCGCTGCCCCACATCAAGCACGGAGGCGAGCTGTGTGACAGCTGACTGGCCGAGAAGCAGAGGAGGCTGTCGTTCCCAAAGGCGGTCAAGTATCGCGCGGTGGACGCTCTCGAGCTTGTCCACGGCGATCACTGCGGGCCAATCACGCCAGCCACAAACGGTGGTCGACGGTACTTCCTTCTGCTCGTGGATGATTGCAATCGCTATATGTGTATGCAACTCCTGACGAGCAAGGACGAAGCGGCGACGGCGATCAAGAAGTGCAAGACGCGCGCGGAGGCGGAGAGCGGCAAGAAGCTACGAGTGCTGAGGACTGGTCGCGGCGGCGAATTCATTTCTGTGGAGTTCGCTGTGTACTGCGCGGATCAGGGTGTGGTGCGACACCACACCGCACCATACTCGCCACAGCAGAATGGCGTGGTGGAGCGGTGGAACCTAACGGTGGTCGGCATGGCTCGATCCAGGATAAAGGCCAAGGGCATGCCGGCAAGGTTCTGGGGAGAGACGGTGACCACGGCTGTGTTCATCCTCAACCGCACGCCCACAAACCCCCTGAAGGGCAAGACGCCGTTCAAGGCTTGGCATGGACGCAAACCGAATGTGTCCTTCCAGACATTCGGCTGCATTGGCCACGTCAGGAAGACGAAACCGGTCCTCACCAAGCTGGAGTACAGGAGTACACCGATGGTGCTCCTGGGCTATGTGGAAGGTACCAAGGCGTACCGGCTCTACGACCCACGCGGAGGCAAGGTGGTTGTCTCGCGCGACGTCGTGTTCGACGAGAAGGCGGCCTAGGACTGGAACAATCCGAGCACGGGGTAAGCTGGCGGCTTCACCAGCACCTTCGTCATCGTCGAGCACTTGGTCATCCACGGTGGTGGAGACACTGGAGAGGAGGTGCAGACCACTCCAGCAACAGAGTCGAGCACTCCTAGGGCAGTGCCGAGTACTCCGGAAGGGGTGCCGAGCACTCCAGGAGTGGTGCCAAGCGATCCTACAGGGGTGCGGAGCACTCCAGGATGGGTGCCGAGCACTCCCGTAGAGGAGCCAAGAGGACTTGCATTGGTGCCGACCACTCCAAGACTGAGGCTGAACACTCCTGCAGTGGTGCCGACCACTCCAGGAGTGGTGATGAGCGGTACAGGAGTAGTGCCGAGCACTGCAGCCGGGGTGCCGAACACTCCAAGTGCTGTGCCGATCACTCCGGCGGAACAGGGAACTCCATTGACGCTGATCGAGTTCGCCTCACCTCCAAGTGACATCACTGAGTTTGTGGATGCCTTCTACGAAGGTGAGGAGATGCGGTTCCGCAGGTTAGACGACATCATCGACGGCACAGGGCCCTCAGGCCTAGCGGGTCGGCTACTCAATGACTCAGAGGTGCTTCTCGTCAGTGTAGAGGAACCACCCATGTTCGCGCTGGCCGAGCGTGATGCACATTGGCGACGGGCGATGCTGGAGGAGATGAAGGCGATCGAGGAAATGAGACTTGGGAGCTCGTCGATCCACCTCTAGGATGTCGTCCGATCGGCCTGAAGTCGGTGTACAAGGTCAAACGGGACGAGCCCGATGCCATTGTCAAGCACAAGGCGCGTCTCGTCGCCCAAGGCTTTGTCCAGCGCGAGGGCATCGACTTCAAGGAAGTCTTTGCACCGGTAGCGTGCATGGAGTCTGTCCGACTGCTACTGGCTTTGGTAGCAGCAAAGGACTGGCGCGTCCATCACCTGGTCGTAAAATCGGCCTTCCTCAACGGCGAGCTGGCGAAGACGGTCTTTGTCAGACAACCTCCGGGTTTCGCCGTTAAGGGAGCGGAGCACAGGGTGCTCCTACTGCGCAAAGCACTCTACGGGCTACGGCAGGCCTCACGAGCGTGGAACGCCAAGCTTGACGCCACGTTGGGCGAGCTTGGGTTCACACGGTGCGCAACCGAGCACGCACTCTACACGCGGCGACGGGAGGAGCTTGTCGTCGGCATGTATGTGGACGACTTGATCGTCACCAGCGCGCGTGTGGAGGACATTGGCAGCTTCAAGCGCGAGATGGCGGCTCGTTTTCGAATGAGCGATCTCGACATGCTCTCCTACTTCCTCGGCATCGAGGTGAGACAGAAGGAGGCGCTCAAGCTCGGTCAGAGCGCGTACGCCTCGAAGCTATTGGAGCGGAGCGGCATGGCTGAGTGCAAGTCGTGCGTGACTCCGATGGAGGAGCGGCTAAAGCTGACGAAGGCTAGTACCGCGGCGAAGGTAGATGCAACACTCTACTGGATCATCGTCGGCAGTCTGCGCTACCTAGTCCACACGAGACCGGACATTGCGTTCGTCGTGGGCTACGTCAGTCGCTTCATGGAGTATCCTCGAGAGGATCACTAGGCTGCGGTGAAGCAGCTATTGCGCTACGTCAAGGGGACGGTGGATCAGGGGATCGTCTTCCACAAGACCGGCGGAAGTAGGCTGCAGCTCACTGTGTTCAGCGATGCAGACATGGCGGGGGATATCGACAGACGGCGGAGCACCTCTGGCGTGCTCATCTTCCTTGGGCCGGCTCCAATCTCATGGCTATCGCTGAAACAGAAAATGGTGGCGCTGTCAATGTGCGAGGCAAAGTACGTAGCGGCGGCCACAGCGGCGTGTCAAGCTGTATGGCTGCGCCGGCTGTTGGGCGAGCTGACCAGTGTGGAAGCTCACCCACCAGCATTTATGGTGGACAACCAGCCTGCCATCGCCCTTGCGAAGAATCCGGTTCTCCACGACCAGATCAAGCACATCGACGTGAAGTTCCACTTCCTCAGGGACTGTGTCGATGGAGGGCAGATCATCATGGAGTTCGTTGAAACTGGTTGGCAACTCGCGGACGTCCTCACCAAGCCGCTCGGCCGTCTTCGACTCATGGAGCTGAAGAAGATGATCGGCATGGAGGGTGTTCTAGGGTTAGCAGCAAGATTAGGGAAAGAATTGTTAAGTAATCTGCTGCTTCCCTGTGTGAACGCACAGCAGGGGAAGGCAACGCCGAAAAGGCTCCCTGCTATGGTATTGTAGCCATAGCAGGAGCAGGCGCCGAACGGCTCTCCTGCCGCACTATAGCCACAGCAGGGGCAGGCGCCAAAGTCAGCCCTGCTGTCACATCTAGTCACAGTAGCAACATAGCAGATGTACTAGGATTAGATGGGTATAGTTGTATATATAGTTTGCCACTACAACTCAGTATAGAGAACGAGTTTAGTTTTGCCATCTTCTCTGTAGAGCTCCGGCCAACGCTGGTGCTTGTGCTATGTGTGTGTGTGCTCTGTTCTCACTCCCTTCTTCTACCTCTAGCCAGAGTGTGTGGTCAGACAACGATAGTCGTGGTCGGCAACGCTGGTGAGTGGTCGACTCACCCGTGCCGGTGATCCTGTGGGCCAACAGCCTATGGGGGTAGGTGGACATCCAGGCGCTAGGCGGCGATTCGGCGGGCTAGGCAGCACGGAGGCGGGCGTGGAGGCACGAACGCATGGAAAATTGCCGCAGCGGGAGGTCACCGGTGGGAGAGGAGCTGCTGCGAGCGGCGGTGGGCATGGGCGCGAGCGTGCGCGGGCCGGCGGCAGGCGCGCACTAGAGCAGAGAGAGAGATGCCGGAGAGGAGAGGAAGAGGAATCGGTGGCGGCGGCGGCTGATGTGGGAGGAAGCGAATGCGGCTTGTGGCATCGAGAGGATGCGAGAGACTGAGATGCGGCGTCGTGCGGGAGACGAGTAGATGGATAAGGTTGGAGACCTGGAGTGGGATAAGGATGGAATAGTGGGCTGGACTGTTGCCTCTTGGGCCTTTCTATCTCTCTAAGCCAGCCTTTCTATCTATCTAAGCCCACTATTCAGCTGTTTATTTTGTCTTTTAGAATATAAATATATGTATATTAGTATATATACAAAACGGCTAGAAAAGCGCCTTAGCGCCTTCTTGAACTTTGGAGAAAACATGTATGTAACAGAAAATCAAAAAGTAAAAAAAAAAACTTACATCATCACGAACATCAGGATTTGCACCAGCTTCCAGTAAGCAATTGTAGAAGTCAGTTAAGCCATTGTTGACAGCAACTATTAAGGGAGTTACAGTTCCAACACCCTTGACATCAGCGCCAGCCTAAAACACAAAAGGTGGCAAACACCCTTCTAGATAAACATATGACATTTTTCTGAGATATTTAAGGAGTGATTTTTTTTTGTTATTTGATGTAATAGGATCAGAAGAGAAGTACAGCTCCCCTTCCACATTAGTTAGTGAATGCTAATTTGCAAGATTATATATCTTTGCTCACGGACTGTTAATATTAAAGATTGATGGTTTATTGGACAAAACTATTCACTAAGGTAACAAGACACGCAACTTAATAAGGGCAAGTGGTTATTCAGTGATCTTCATTAATTCATGTGCAAAGAGTTCAAACATCAACAAAAAAAATAAATGAGGTAATACCAAGTTTTGAAATGAAATTGTTCATCTCGGTGGTCTTACAAAGAATTAAGAAGATTTCACTTTAGCATGAGATGAATGGATCATACCTTAATTAGAAGCTTCACACATTCCAGTGAGCGAGAAGTGAGAGACATGAAAAGTGGTGTGCACACAGTGTTAAAAACCTTGTTATACTGACAAGAAAGATTCAGAAAATCAGTGCCCTTGCATGATGAAACTTGGCATAAACATTTGGTCCTCGAAATTATAATCATTTTTGCTAGTTTGGGCAGTCAATTTTCGCATAGCAATACCGAATGTCACTAGCCTTAACAAAAAGTAAGTGACCAAGGAAAATTAGGATGGGCAAATATTGTAATCAGTAATTTGGATCTTGTTAATCTACGAAGGAAGATAGATAATAACGTTACATACATCTGCACCATGGTCCAACAAAATCTTCATAGCACCATCCTGCTTACAGTAAGCAGCCATATGCAGTGGTGTCCCAGTATCAGAAAGCGAATCGACATTGGCCCCCTTTGAGAGTAAGGCTTTTAATATTTCACAATTTCCTAAATCACAAAAATAGAACACAGAAGTTTATTAGTTACTTATTGGAATATGTTAAATGGGTAAAGAGATAATCTACAGAAAAATGTGTTTTAAACAATTCAGAAATCAACCACAATAAGCTGTCCTGAGAACAGGGGGGTTCGTACTTCTTTCCTATATGGCTATATACAAACATTTAAATTAGGAGTGATAAAAGGTTTGTGTTAATAAAAAATATACTTATGTTTTTCATGTTCAACATCAGATCTATAATGTATCCCAATGACCTATGAACTAGCTCATGAAATACATATGCTACAACAACAGAGAAAACAAATTAACAGTTGAATTTTAGAAAGAGAAAATTGGTTTTACAGCATCGAAAGAGAAACAAATTAACAGTCTCGTGATCTTTGGATGCTATGAAACCAATTTTCCCTTTTAGAAATATCTGATCCACGTCAGGCATCTCCCAATTTGATAGATGATGAAGAATACAAACTTACAATAGATATATCTTCATAATCACATTTTGTAGACTTAAAAGGTACCAATTAAACAACTCATTCATCACAAGTCTCAAGCATGACCAATGAATACTTGGAGCATTTACACAATACATACAACATATATGCCCATGATCTGATCAAATTCCATTACATCACTCCAGACACATAAACAAAGAATTTAAAGACACGCACATGAAGGAAAGAGATAAGTTGCATAGGAAGAGACCTCCTTCAGCAGCTAAATGAAGAGGTGTAGACCCTTTCCCAATAGGTTTATCTGGATTAGCATCATGATCAAGAAGATACTGTACTGTGTCCACAGTGCCACCTTGAATTGCATAGGCTAGAGGTGTATCCCCTACAGCAAACATAAAAAAGTAGTAGCATACTAAATAAGACTCATACAAGAAAAAAAACTAAGATTCCAAAATAGAAATCCATGCAAAGAAAAAAAAAAGAAAAACTATAGAAAGGTTTTGCTATTCAAGCAAGCATCTGTTTCCAAAGCATCCATACGAACTTCACACATGCATTAGCACATTCAAAGTTAGGAGATGATGGCATTTAAGTTGCCTCTAAAATAATACATGGACACATCTTGGCACATGAAACTGATACTAGCAATACAAAATATTAACGAGAATTTAGGAACTAAGTCTAAGCAGGGTGCCTATGTGCACATGATCAAACAATTGTCATAAGATTGAACTTCGATATGTGCACGTTTATGTTAAGTACAATAACGTGAGATGCTTCACGAAGAATATTTGATTCAACTTTAGTATGTGCATGTTTATCAGTTTATGTGAAGTACAAGTACCATAATGTGAAATGCTCTACTAAAAATTACAAACCCATCACATATCAGTTGCTTGTTTAAAACCCTGATACTCTTACACAGATTAAGCAAAACATAATGGATGAGTTTGTTGGTGATAAAACCAAATCCAGATTCCTGCCAAACTAAAAACAGGACAAATATTTATAGGGGTACATGTACATTAATAAACAGAAGCTAAAAAACATTTTCAACAGAAAGCAAACTCATGCAAGGGGAAAACAAGAAGACAAATGGACAGAAGCTGCATGCATCAACACTCTTTACTGATGCAATTCTGTCCCAACAATATATGATGCATCTGGAATGAATAAACTTCATAAATTAACTCAAAACATGTTAATTTGACATATACTTCCAAGACAATGTCAATGCCAAGTTCAAGACTTCAATTTTAAAAGAATATAAGATAAATCCAGGGGTAAACATCCATACTGTTTCTGGTGCGAATTGGTTTAATTTCCTTTCCCAACTTCAATGGAAATGAGAAGGCACCAGAGAATACCAAACTTATATAATTTAAAAGGGGCAAAAAATCTGAGTTTACATGAAGTTCTTTACAGGCATCAAGGTTAACCTGCGAAGTACAAACCATTTCCTACAACAATTGCCAAGTGAGGCAAAACTAGAAGCATGGAAACCAGATTGATATAAACATAGTTTGACATGGACACAAATCATCTAAACCAGGAGAAATTCAACCCAATCAGATAGCCATTCTGAAACTCGTACATGCAGGTAAGTGTACACTCCCATTCCTTGGCATCAAGGAAGCAGATGACCAATTCATTGCATCACATTATTATACATATATATGTGATGAATGAAATCAATTACTAATGAAAATGTGGTGCTTTTGTAATATCATCACTGCGAACTTCACATTGCAAGCCACGGTGGCACCAACCTCTGGTCTAGAGACATGACCATATGAGGATTTTGCTATTGCGCGACGAGGGGAAGGAAGACTAATAAACAGGAAAAAAAAAACAAAAGAAACCACCTTTATCGTCCGATGCGTTAACGTCCGTATGTAGCTCCTCGACCATGTATACGCACACAGCCAGCCTGCCGCGACCCGCAGCGAAGTGAAGCGCCCCAGCGCCGCGGTTCTTCACGGCCTCGACTGCCTCTCTGAGGCGGCCCTTGCCGGCGTCCAGCGCACTTGCGGTCCCTGCGGACGCGACACGAGCGAACAAGAAAACCAAAATCCAAAACCCTCCGAAATCAGCGCCCGACCCAAAACTCAACAACGGGGGAATTGCTGGGGCCGCACGCCGCGTGCACGTACTCTTGAAGAGCTGGAGGTCGCCGTCGGCCGCCGCCTGGATGAGCCGCCGCTGCCGCGCGCCCAAACCTGCATGTGGTGGAGGGGCGTAGGGGTTAGTTAATGGGGTAGACCGCAGTCAAGCGGGTGCTGGCGGCTAGGGCTTGAGAGTCGTTTACCGGAGGTTTGGGGCGGTGCCATCGTTGCGGTGGTCGTCGGCGGTCGGTAGGGTTTTGGAGCCGACTATGAAGTTTGAAAACAAACGGGCGACGATTGGAATTGGAGCAGATGGGAAGCAGAAATAACGAAGGAAAGTTCTTTTTTTTTAAAAAAAAACTCTCCATCTATCTACTATATTTCTATCTAGGGTAATTGGATTGGTGGTGCCATTATAAACTGGGGGAATTCCTTACGTGCCATTAAAAAATATCGTAATGCTCTGTGTGTTTTTGAAAAAAGTTCAGTCACTGCTCCAACTTTTTTATGCCCTCCATGCCACTGTCATCAGTTTGAGCTCTAACGCCGTCAAACTGCAGGTGTGAAAAGTCAAAAATACCCTTAAGTTTAAATATGTCATTAATTTTTTTAAGCATCTTAACGACTTTAAATGAAAAAACTCAAAACTACAAAGTTGTAGATCTTATCGAGATCTATAATTTTTATATAAAAATTATCTTCATTTAATTCCACAAAAAAATATGATTTGATATGATTAATATATCTTAGAAAAATCATATCTTTTTTTGCGGAATTAAATGAAGATAATTTTTATATAAAAATTATAGATCTCGACGAGATCTACAATTTTTTAGTTTTGAGTTTTTTCATTTGAAGTCGTTAAGATGCTCAAAAAAATTAATAACATATTTATACTTAAGGGTATTTTCGATTTTTCACACCTACAGTTTGACGGCGTTACAGCCTAAACTGACGACAGTGGCATGGAGGGCACAAAAAAGTTGGAGCAGTAGCGCTGAAGACCACTGAACTTTTTTAGGAACACACAGGGCATTACGATCTTTTTTAATGGCACACAAGGAATTCCCCCTATAAATGTTGGCTTCTACTATTCGTTTATTTGAAACCATATCATTACAATTTGGAATAAACCCATACTAAAAAATTCAGAGGTGGATTTTTTATTTACACAGGGTAGGTTATGGTCTCCAACCAAGTGCCACTGTTAATCGCCATTTATAGAGGCAGCAGTACTGCTTGTCTTTAAAAATCAATTAACGGGGGTGGGCGCTAAACTCGTGACCTGCAACCTAGCATAAAAATAAAAAAATTATTTCCTTATCCTGTAAACAGCACTGAACAAAATCTGTATATCTGTTTTTCGGTAATGAAATTGCTGGTTGGTCCGAGAAAAAAATGGACGTGTTTTGTTATGTTATATATACTTTATAAAAAGAAAACAACCAATACTTGCCAGCAACTTGGTCACCGAATAAAATGAACTCATGAACAGCCTTGTATTTCCGCTCTTCGTTAATGTAAATGAAAATAGGGATCAGTAGATTCACGGCAGAACCATCCGGACTCTAGGAAGGCAGAACAAAATCTTCGGATAAAAACGCAAAAAAAAACGATCAGACTCGGACTCTAGGAAGTCTCCGGAGGAAACGTTGCCCGGTAGAACAAAATCTCCCCTAGCAGAGCCAGGAGACCCGTCGATGGCGGTGGCTGGCCCAGAGGCCAGGCCTCATCGCGGCAGCGGCCATGGCTGCCCGGCGGCGATGACCATTAGCCCTTGCGGGCAGAGACGGAGGCAGTGCCCGCTTATGGCCGGGCGGCTGCGGGGGTGCCCGCGTGCGCCCCAGCGGTAGCGGTGGCCTCTCTCCGCCCACTAGGACGGCCAGCGTTGGTGGCGGCCCACCCAGTGGCGGTGGCGCCCAATCGGCGTTAGGCCATCACGATGGGGAAACTGTCCGTCTGATGCGTGGCTGGGATGGGACGGGATAAGGTTGTGCCCTTTTTGCACATAAACCCATCCATCTTCTGTGAATTACATAATAATCATAATCGATTGTTGATGTATTTCTGGTTTTATATATGTTTAGCCCTCCGTATATCACTGCAATATATTGCACTTATATATGTCATATAAATTATATTTTTTAGATCTCAGATCTAAAAAATCGCACCCTTGTATTAGAGTTTATGCTCTCCACGTCGTGCTCCACAACCACCTCCACAGCACTTCACGCCACGGTCCTGCTATGCATCGGCTCCTCCTCCAACGAGACCTCCAGCAACATGTGACCTCGTGCGTGGTCGTAAAAACCTGCTAAAACGATAGCAATTTCTAAAAATATATTTTTAGAGACCAGTTTGAAGCAAGTCTCTTATATGTATTTATAGAGACGGCTATAAATAAAGCCACTTTTAAATAAAATAGGCATGTCTCTTTTTTATTAAGCAGTGGTTACCCGTGCTATGTGTATGACATGCGTTAGCATCACTACTAGGACGAAGGAGGCTACTACGGGCTGCGGTGACCACAAGAACTACTTCACTGCTAGTGCTTGCCGTAATTAAATCTATCACCGTAGCGTATGCAAAAATTCATGACTCGGTGCAACGCACGGGTATTTATCTAGTTGAAAAAAAGTAATGAGAATTGAGTAGCGGTTGGTGACCCAATAAAGAAATTCTATAAGGCCCGATCTGTAGGGTCGATTCCTACTCGGATTAGTACTTTGAATTGGAAGTCGCTAATGGCGTTGGTCCAAAGGGCAGAGAGGCGGTTGGCGGACGGCTCGGGGCTATATAATCGGGGACGGGATTTGGCCAGCGTACCACATCGATCCACAAGGAGTGCGACACAAGCCAATGGAATTGGAGAAGATGAGCAGCCTTGAGGAGGAGGAGGAGGCGAAGAAGCTGAAGCTCGCCCCCAGGACCAAGGGGACGTGGCGGAAGAGGATGAATCCTCTCAGAAGACGAGGGAGACGCGGCGGAAGAGGATGAATCCTCTCGGAAGACGAGGGAGAAGAAGATCGCCTTTTTTAAGGCAGTTTTGGAGAAGGATTGTGATGGTCTGGAGTTCCCAGAATACGCCTGGCCTTTCTTCGACGGTGGACTCGCCGAGCTCAAGGAGGTAAACGACGGCTTTCGCACCTCTGTCAAGGAATTCAAGGAGTTCGCCACTTGGCGTCTCAAGGAGGAGTTCAATATTGACATCTACAGCAAAGTTCCCTCCCATGTCGACGTCCCTCTCAACTAAGTCTCCTCGGTCCTCGGTCGATCTGCAAGTTATCTATCCACCTCTCTCTCTCTCTCTCTCTCTCTCTCTCTCTCTCTCTCTATATATATATATATATATATATATATATATATATATATATATATATATATATATATATATATATATATATATATAAAATAATTTATGAGTTCTAGTAGTTGTTGCTGCACAATTTATTTATCTCCTGTATCGGCTCGGCTTTAATTGCTTCGTGCAAGTATTGAACCTTTCTATGGAAGTATTGAACTGATCTCCTATATATGTTTGCAAGTCCCGGACCTACTATGTATGCGTGTATTGTGGGCTTGTGGCTGCTTTAGTCACCTGCTTGCAAGTACTCAAAATTCATATGTATGCCTTACACTAGCAAAAGTGCCAATGCGTTACAACGGGAGAAAAAATTCGTTAGCGGAAAATGAAGACATCAGTGTTTTATTCTTTCTATTAAAATTTGAAACTATAATATTGGTCATAATATAACAATGTTCAGTTAAATCTATATCGAATTAAAACAAAACCTTGATAATATTTTCTCCTATTGTAATAAGGCGTAGAAATATATGGTAAGTTTGATTTTCATTCTATACATGTCTTGGTGGGTTAAATATCGAGTCTTCTGACTTTCTTTGATGCCCCATCAATGCAAAATATGTAATTCTACTATTGATTTAAATTCGTAGAGTTTTAGCTGTTGTCGTGTCAATAATTGATGTGTCCATTGATGATTATGACGACGAAGATCTCTCTCGATTTCCACATGGCTGCTCTAGTTGAGGATTGCACTGGTATATATGCACAAACATGTGCAAGCATTGTAACAGACATTGTGCAACCAAACTTAGCGGTTGTTGGGATGAAAGGCTACTGGTCATTGTGCTGGTCAAAAATTTGTTGGCGAAAATTTTGGTTCTTTAATATTAGGTATAGATTTGAAAATATGTTCATGATCTTGATTTCGAGAAGCAATGCACGTGAACCAATATATATATATATATATATATATATATATCGTCTGCTAATACACGACTAATCAGTGTTTGGACAGAAAGTTTTTCGGTCGTTCCATTTTGAGTATCAAATTCTATATCATATCCGGACACGTTGCTTAACTTATATAAGCACTGCATAGAGCGATGACACAATAGAAATGTTTTCTAGCTACTTTAAGAATGTGTAAAGATATGTGTGTTCAATATCTGGTCATGGTTCGCACACGAACACGTCACCGTGTGCCCCCGGCGGTGAGCGCGATACGCAGGACACGTCGCCGAAGGAGCCTTGCCGGGAGCACGATACGCAAGACACGCCGCGCGAGGTCTCTTGAGACCCAAAACCCCACACCCTCGGGAGGGACACGTCAGGGCATGCGGAGGCTATGGACTGCCCTAGCCGACCTGACCGCTCTAGGGCTTCGCCATCCTTGAAGTAATGAACATCGTCGACAACAAAGAACGAGAAGAAATAGTATAGATTGGAAAAAAGTAAGAGAAAAGATAAAAAGTAGATGTATTGATAGATTTGATTTTGTGTTGTCAATCAGTCGTCACTCTTTATATTTATAGGGCAGCTGGTTTTTCCTGGTTGGGTCACAAACTCCAACCCGTACAAACATATTTTCTAAACCTATTCGGTCAAGAATCCAAAGTCCAAACAGAAAACATGTTGTGACAGAACCGCCCAATTTATACAAGATCAAGTACTGCTGTCCCTGTTTAGCACGTTGACGCGCACATACTTTCACTTATATAAGCCCGGTAGTCCATCGAGTGTCACGAAGGACCTCGGTAAATCAACATCACAATCAAGATCGTATGATTAAGCAAATACACATCACATACGTAGAGTTTCAGCGGAAATAATATTACAAATGGGTTCACAAATAATAGTATAAGTTTTGGGTTTCAAAACCGATTAGTGAAAACAATATAGCTTGCAAATGATTACATTAATA